CTTTCTCCTTTCTCTTGGTCTTCTTCCATACACCTTCACCTCTCCTTCTTGCCATAACCTATCTCTTCCCACCTCAACTGAGTCCTTTCTTCTCCCCAGGGTCGAGAACCACCATGACCAGAATCCACTGCGAGTTCTTCGCTATGTGGAAGCTTTCAAGAGCTCAGAAAAGGAGGATGGCCCAGAGCATCTTTCAGAGAAGCAGCACTCTTTGACTGAGAGTGGGGCTCTAACCAGAGGCTCCCTGACTGTCCCAAGTCCCCCACTGTCCCGGACTACTTCCCGAAGCAGCAGTAGTCACCGGGGCTGGGAGATCCTTCGTCGGAATACACTGGGACACTTGAATTTTGGAATGGATTTTGGTGAGGGGGATGGAGAGGAGGTCTATCATTTATGATGAGGATCCTTATTACTCTGAACTGGCTCCAGGCGGGCCTGAGATCGGGGAGGTGATGCCTGCCTACGCAAGTGTCTCACTGACATGCTGTTCGTCTGGGAGGGGATAGACAGAATAATTCCTAGAGGCAGAAGGCTCTTGCCTTATCTCTCCACATCCTCCACTCTCATCTCCCTTTGCTTCCATGCTGAATCATGACTGAACAGCAGCAATAGAAGATGGGCCATCCATCTCCAGGAGGGACAGGCACCAAGTGTCCAGGGTACCACCTACAGGACCTCACATACACGAGGCCTCTCTCCTGCGCCTAGCCCTGAACTTCCCATCTCAGTCCTATCACCACCCCCATACAAAAGCCCTAACAACCTTTAAGTGGTCTGGAATGGCAAAGAGGTAAGAGGATTTGTGAGCTCACAGACAGGTTCATGGAGATGCTCCCACAAATGCAGAGCTGAGTGTCCCACAGTGAGGACGCACACAAACACCCACACACCGGTAACACACTGTGGCATGGTGCTTAAAGCTCTCAGTGAGGTCTCAGTGCTCACGCTCCCTCTTCATTCTGTTGTGCACTCCAAGCACTTCCACCCCTGTGTGAAGCAAAACTCCCTTCTGTGTTCCAGCCCCAGTTCTCTCTGTCCATCTCTGTCCCTCCTGGGTCTTCTCACTTGTGTATCTCCAGCCTCTCCTCTGGGAGTACTGTCAGCAAATAAGCACGCTCTCTTCTTTCCCATTTTCAAAGAAAGCACAAAAGCCTTCCTTTGCCCCTCCTCGCCTTTTAGCTACTGCTCTTGCCTTTTTACTCCTTATTCAGACAAAACTTGTTAGAAGTAGACTCCATTGTCTTGTAACCTCCTGCTGATTCCTCAGCCCATTGTGATTTGACCTTGCCTTCTCCTGCTACTGATACTGCTCTTTGCCAGGGTTATCTGCCTTTATTGAAATCCCAGGCTTGTTTGGCTTGGACAGTCTGTAGCACTCAGGTGGCGGTTGGCCGAGTACTCACCCTTCTCAGCAGGTCATGCCACGCAGTCCTACCACCCTGCCTGCCTCTTCCCTATTGATCCCTTAAACAGTTGGTCCTCGAGGCTCTCCGTTTTCCTTCCCAGCCGGACGGTACCACCTAACCTATTGCCATAGTCTGCCAGGCAAGTGCTCAGGCCTCCAGGTCCCTACCTTCAGTTGAGATCTCTTCTGAGCTCCAGGCATGGCTGCTCCTGGCCTCTCCATTGGGCTGCATTGCCTGGACAGTTTACAAACACCTCCACCTCAGCATGTCCTGAACGGAACAGCCTTTCTTCCTCCCCAAACCTGCTCTGCCACCATTGTTCCCAACCAAGTAACTGCCAGCACCATGGGGAGAGAGCTGCGGAAGCCCGAATCCTTGACATCATTCTCGACACTTGTCTTGGATCTCGTCTCCAGAGTATCTCATCTTGTGGATATTTTATTCCCTAAAACATTTACTTTGAAAAATGACTAATTTTGATTACATAATATATCATGGGTATAAAATTCAAAGAGCACAGAGTGTATACAGGAAAGTATTCAGGAGCATTCGCTAACACAAGTTCGTTAGTTATTTGTACTTCACAAAGTAGTCTAGACATATCCAAATATCTACATACATACTTTCCTCTTAAAGATACCTACAATTAGGAACCAGCAGTTAGCATAATGGCTATGTCGCTGGACTCCCATGTAGCCGACCAGTTCGAGTCCTGGACCTAATGGCTTAATCTCACTCCGGGCACGTGTGTGTGTGTGCCCAAGATCCTGAGAGGAGAACAGAGGAGAAGGGATTGTGGCGTGGCCATCCCCCTGGGGGGTGATTTCTCGCTTTCTGTCTCTCTGCCTCTCTGTCTTTCTGGCTAGCTCACGCGCCCTATAGCAAAACCCTCTCCCCAAAAAAGATACCTACAATTAAATGTGTGTCAAAAAAACAGTTCTTGTGGGGCCAGCCTATGGTGTGATGGTTGGGGTACTTGATCCCACATGGCCAGCCGCAGTTTGAATCCCTGACCTGGAGGCTTGAGGAACATGCCAGGCATGTGTTCATAACATAACTCAACTCCTAAGGGGAGAATGGAGAAGAAAGGATTGAAGTGTGACCCCCGCCCCATCCCTGGGAGATATTTTCTCACTTTTTCTCTCTTAGTTTCTCTCTGGTAAGTACACATACCCTATAACATTTTTTTTAAGAAGAAAAAAAAAGCACTTCTTACTTTTATCATATAATGTGTTTTAAAGACTGTTCTTATTTTATTTTAAAATTTATTTTATACATTTAATCACTGTATATCACCACAGCTTAGAAAATTAATTTTCCCAGCATGAATACACCAGTCCAGTTAAACATATCATACGTGCTATCAACAAATAATCCTCCATTTCTGGGTCCCTTGAATGGCTTTCCTCTCTACTTTTCTCTATCAATATAACATAAACTTTTTTCTATTCATCCCTGCCCCTCCAGACTCTACTGCTGTAGTTCTGGAATGGGCCACCATCACTTCCATCCTGCATTTAGGTGTAGGTTCCCAACCACTTTCTCTGCATGTGGTTTTGTCTTCGCCAACCTATAGACCGTTCACTGGCAGCCACAATGACCATGGTGAGTCCACTCCTCTCCTAAACTGTGCTAAGCTGCCCCATGACCACCTCTCCAGCCATCTTTCATGTTCCTCTCCTTCTATACTCTGTTTCACCAAGGCAAATTAATTTTAGTTCCTGAATTGTATATATTCTCTTTCCTCTTTGCCTTCATGATTTCTGGATCTTTCTACCTTCCTGCACCTATTCCCTCTTCCATCTTTGTAATTTCTAATTTATCCTATTGATCTTGGTTTAGAGATAAAACATGTGGGAGTCACCTGAGGGCATGGTGGTTAAAGTGGCTGGATGCCACATGGCCAACTGTGCAATTTGAGTCCTTAAGAAACATGCCAGGCATGCATGGAGGGAGAAATTGAGGAGAGGGGACTGCAGCGTGACCATTCCCCATGGAGGGGGTACTTTCTCACTTTCTCTCTCTTTGCTCTCTCTGGCAAGTGCATGTGACCTATGGATTTTTTAAAAATCAGACATTTGGGTTGCATGCATGTGTGTACACCGGAGAAGAGGGGCAGTTCCTGATTCTTAGCTAGAGACCACCTGCTCTGGGTTTCCAGACCACCTATATTTCCATTTTTACTACATGTCTTGCACTTTATTGCACTTATTTGTTTAAATGTCTGTTTTTCTTAGTAGACTGTTAGCTCCACAAAGATAAAGATGTGTTCATCTTAGTCGTCATTGTATTTCCACTGCCTGGCATAATTCTCGATGCAATGTATTGTGAAATAAATATTCATTAACTGAATACATGAATGAGTGATCTGATTTTACTCCAAGTTTTCCACCTAGCCATAAATACTTTAGATTTTTTCCTGCCTCTGAAGGGTTGTAAAAATATCTGCCTTTAAATGGGATAGGAATAATGAAAAAGGAGCACATAAAGTGAGTAGAAACACGAAAGAAGAAAAGGCAATGCCAATGTGATTACTGGAAAAGTTTTCCAGTTTAATATACTTCCGTGGAGCCAGCAGGTGGTGTGGTAGTCAACACACTAGATCCCACATGGCAGACTCTGCACTTCAAGTCCGGGACCCAGTATCTTGAAAAACACTCCAGGCACATGTCTATGCATGCCCCAAATCCTGAGACGACAGGGATTGCAGCATAGCTATCCCCCTGGGGAGATTTCTTACTTTCTCTCTCTCGCTTTCTTTCTGTCTCTCTCCTCTTTCTCTCTTTCTCGCTTTCTCTGGCAAGGGCATGGGCCCTGTGACAAAAATGTAATAACGTATTCCTGTGTGTGTGTGTATGGGAGAGAGGGATAGAGAAAAAAGAGGAAGAGAAGAAGGGGCAGAAAGGGAGTTAGGGAGGACAAAGGACAAGGAGAAGGACGAAAGCAGAAAGACGACAAATGTGAAGAGGAGAAGGAATAGGGAAGAACGCAGCAGCAGGGTGGGACAGGCTGCTGGAGCCGCCGGACGCCGGAACCACCGTACG